AGAGGGTTCAAATAAAGATGGAAGAGATGGCTTTTTACATCTTTACATCTTCAGAGATGTGTTCCACCAGGAGGGAACATTTAATTTAAAAGTCCGTGAAAGTGACTTTGTGCGTCTTTAGGATGGCACAATACAGCGAAGTTCACTTACAGAACGCAAGCTTCTAGAGGGCACAAGCAACTGTACAAGCTGTATAAGAATGTGCTTCATTTCTGCCTGCACGCATTTTTGAAAAGAAACACCTCTTGCGTATATAGTGATCTTTGAAATGGCAGTAAGTGACAGAATAAACAGCGTTTCGTGCGTTATTGCTCAGGGGTATCATGTAATACACCCCCCGAGCGCACGGATGCGCACACGCGTTGTCACAGCAGCGGACGTACCAGTGTGACGCAGGCGGGCTCCATACACACTCCGGTAGCACAACAATACAAGCTCTCGCCGCTCCCCCTCGCTCTCGGTATGGCGGATGGCGAGCGGTCCCCGTTGCTCTCGGATCTCGGTGATGGAGCTCTCGGCAGTGGTAACGGCGGGGTGTCTCCCGGAGCAGCTCTCCGGTAGCACAACAATACAAGCCTCGCCGCTCCCCCTCGCTCTCGGTATGGCGGATGGCGAGCGGTCCCCGTTGCTCTCGGATCTCGGTGATGGAGCTCTCGGCAGTGGTAACGGCGGGGTGTCTCCCGGAGCAGCTCCACACGGTGCTCCGAACAAACCGCAGAGTGAGTAGCGAGCGCGGCGCTTTTCTGCGCTGTCACAGGCCCGCGCGCGCACACACACATACACATACAAGCACATTACTGCATTTACTACGATTTAGGTTAGGTACAGTTCTGTGCGGTTATTCATGCTTTATGTTGCACGCTGGTGATGATGATGGAGGCAGGACCTGGATAGATGTTTTTCTGGCTGATCGCAGTGGAGAAGCAGATGAAGTGTGTGTTCGTAGGTGCACGCGCGCGGTCACTGTAGGTGATACATGCTGCTCCGCATATAACTTAATGCAGTTGCATACGATACACCTGCGTCGGGAGGATGCTATTATTTTGTCAAAAAAATTAATGTTGAATTGATCCTCGCATACATTTGTCATCCATTAGAGAGGCTGTTACGCAGCTAATGAATGAACATCACTGTTGGGTTGTCCAGGTCTGTTTACTGTTCTGTTATCGGCCTTCCCGCGACAAATTATAATAATAAAGGGGCAATATTTTCTTAAACTAGTCATATGACTGAGGACGACTGTACAGGTGGTCATTGTCCCCATTTAACCATATTTACCGGTGAGTCGGCGTCTCTGCACTTCACATTTACAGTCATCTGCCGAATTCGAAAACTCCAGCTACACCCAAACACATATGATTAGCACATCTTTGGACCATTCAGAAAGCCTGAAATTATTGCCTGAGGAGACCACAACCAATCATTGCGCAGAGCGGGCGGGGCCAATAAAAAGTTACTAAAGGGCGTGCTGATGATGTTGGTGTGGGGATTTTTAACTAATGTGGTGATGCTGGTGAATTTTTATGAAAACCATATTTAAGTTTTATCATACACACGTTGGGTTTTGTATGGAGTTTACGACTTGATTTTGGGAGCTTTCAAAGAGTAAGAACTACTTAAAATATCCTCTCAAATCAGGTTTAACATGTTTCACTATATTTGTGAGGACATTTTCAAAAATTTGGCCCCCACAATTATAGGCAAATGTGTACATGATCCACTAGGCACATTCCAGCAGTCTCCTTATAAAGCTCCTTTCAGCAGATCTCGAGACCAAATCAGATTTTCTTGTTAATCCTAATGGCCTGGGTGACAGAGAACTGTTTCACCTTCCCAAAGTTCAAGTTTCAGTGTTTAGTTAAACTTTGAAAGGTAAATTAAACTTTCATGTTTTACGCTATTTTATGAGCCAATATTTCCTGTATCTATGCTAAACTGATAATACTGATGCTGTTATTCAGAAATTATGATTGTACTGTATAAATGAAACATTTACAGCATTGAAGTCGTGATCGAGATGTCAAAAAAAGTAAAAAAACTACACATACATTGATAAATCATTCACAATAAGATCTATAACATGCATTTTGATAATAGATAGGGTGAATTTTAATTTCATCCTGATTTCAGGTACAGTAAGTAAAACTTGCATACTGAATGTCTATCATAATCTGCAATGGCAATCTCTCCCTTTTTAGGCTTTCCTCCGTTTCCGAGCTCGACTCAGCCCCCTCTGTTGATGGGCGAGAACCCTCCACCATATTCCCCCCTGACGTCTCCAGAGAGTGGCAGTGCCCCAGTCATCAGCTGTAGGGTGTGCCAGTCGCTCATCAGCGTTGAGGGCAAAATTCACCAACATGTGGTCAAGTGCGGAGTCTGCAATGAAGCTACAGTGAGTTGGGACAGAGCACATATACACTACTTAATACATCATTTTACAAAACACGGGAAGGATTAATTAGTTAGCATGTCAACTTTTGAACAATTGTTAAATTCTTAAGTTTTGACTTGTTTATTGTTTAACTGTTTGCATGCTACAGCTATTGATTCAATTTAAAATACTTTTATTGTTCATGACTGTAAACAATACATTTTTATCAATGCCAAGAAATTTTGAGCCACAAATTGAGTAATTGATTCAAATTGATTGACGGTTTATGGACTTCTGTCAGCAAATATTGATACACTACCATTCAAAAGATTGTGGTTAGTAAAATGTTTTAATGTTTTTGAAAGAAGTATCTTATGCTCACCAAGACTTAATTTAATTTTAATAGTAGTGTATATACATTGAATGATTCAACATTACATACAGTACATTTAATTTGATTGAAATTTGTAATCGATTAACAGTGCCAAAACATAAAATCACTTCATGTAGTAACCACACACACTTTAGTTTTTGCGTAGCCAGAATTAACTCTGTCTCTTTTCTGTCTCTCTCCTCCTTTCTATTTTTTAAATTAACCTTCATTCTCTCCAGCCCATAAAGAATGCCCCTGCAGGGAAGAAATATGTGCGAAAAAACTACACATACATTGATAAATCATTCACAATAAGATCTATAACATGCATTTTGATAATAGATAGGGTGAATTTTAATTTCATCCTGATTTCAGGTACAGTAAGTAAAACTTGCATACTGAATGTCTATCATAATCTGCAATGGCAATCTCTCCCTTTTTAGGCTTTCCTCCGTTTCCGAGCTCGACTCAGCCCCCTCTGTTGATGGGCGAGAACCCTCCACCATATTCCCCCCTGACGTCTCCAGAGAGTGGCAGTGCCCCAGTCATCAGCTGTAGGGTGTGCCAGTCGCTCATCAGCGTCGAGGGCAAAATTCACCAACATGTGGTCAAGTGCGGAGTCTGCAATGAAGCTACAGTGAGTTGGGACAGAGCACATATACACTACTTAATACATCATTTTACAAAACACGGGAAGGATTAATTAGTTAGCATGTCAACTTTTGAACAATTGTTAAATTCTTAAGTTTTGACTTGTTTATTGTTTAACTGTTTGCATGCTACAGCTATTGATTCAATTTAAAATACTTTTATTGTTCATGACTGTAAACAATACATTTTTATCAATGCCAAGAAATTTTGAGCCACAAATTGAGTAATTGATTCAAATTGATTGACGGTTTATGGACTTCTGTCAGCAAATATTGATACACTACCATTCAAAAGATTGTGGTTAGTAAAATGTTTTAATGTTTTTGAAAGAAGTATCTTATGCTCACCAAGACTTAATTTAATTTTAATAGTAGTGTATATACATTGAATGATTCAACATTACATACAGTACATTTAATTTGATTGAAATTTGTAATCGATTAACAGTGCCAAAACATAAAATCACTTCATGTAGTAACCACACACACTTTAGTTTTTGCGTAGCCAGAATTAACTCTGTCTCTTTTCTGTCTCTCTCCTCCTTTCTATTTTTTAAATTAACCTTCATTCTCTCCAGCCCATAAAGAATGCCCCTGCAGGGAAGAAATATGTGCGGTGTCCTTGTAACTGTCTTCTCATCTGCAAGGTCACATCCCAAAGGATCGCCTGCCCTCGGCCTTATTGGTAAGAGAGAAGGAGACAAAGTTACATTTAAAACAAATGAAATCTTTGACACTAATACACATCGTCTTGTCACAGTCAGGATTGTGTATGCGAAGAATTGAATGTATTTGTCTCCATGTCTGGACTAGTAAGAGGATCATAAATTTGGGGCCAGTCCATCCGGGTCCAGCCAGTCCAGAACCACAACCTGCTGGAGCTAGAGTTTCCTGCGGACACTGCAGCAACACTTTCCTGGTACATAAACACACACACACAGTACAGCAACATCATACTGTATCATTCTCCGCTGCAGTGACATCTTGACCGGATCACTCGGCTCAGGTTCAGCATCAAGTTAAAGTCGAATATCAGATGGCAATTTATTCTTGTTTTATTTATGCTACTGCCTCACATTAGCTGCTCAACCACTTTCTCAACATTTCAGTGGACTGAATTTACTGACAGGACACTGGCTCGATGCCCCCATTGCAGGAAAGTGTGAGTATTTCTGAGCCAACATTCACAACACATTTTGCATTTACCAAATAAATCAAACTCTTTTATTAGTTGGCAAATAAGTCAGCATTTAATGCCTGTCTAAGCCCCCTGTACACCGCTTTAGCTTCTGAAATGCATTACTGCCTTTTACTGGCTGTAATTTTTTTCAATTTTGATAAATGTCCCATAACATTTTAACATCCTGTCCTAGCTTATTACATAGAGACTATAACTAAGCCATTCACTGACTGATTCCCTCATATCTGTGGCTCTTGTCAAAACATTGCTCTGTTTGTTTGAGCATACAGACAAAGCAACATAGGCTCAGCCAATGGCATGAGTTTGGGGCGGGTCATTATTTTTATAATTAGTGCTATAGTGCTAGTGTTACAGAAATTACACACTTTGCCTTTAAATAGTTTTGCATATTCCATTCCATATCCCCTGCTGTTCCTCTGATTGGTCTTTTTTCTCTTATTTTTCTTCACCAGATCTTCGATTGGACAGAGATATCCGAGGAGGCGGAGTTTGTGGTGTTACCTGCTGTGCTTGCTATTTAGCATCTCAGCCGCTGGTCTGATTGTGAGTGTGCATCTTATATTTATCCATCAGTATATTTATCAACCATATTTGTGACCCTGGACCACAAAACCAGTCTTAAGTGTCAATTAAAAAAAAAAAAAAAGCTTAATAAATAAGCTTTCCATTGATGTGTGGTTTGTTAGGATAGGACAATATTTGGCCGAGATACAACTATTTGAAAATCTGGAATCTGAGGGTGAAATTAAGTTCAAATGTTCTTAGCAATGCATATTACTAATAAAAAATTAAGATTTGATATATTTACGGTAGGAAATTTGCAAAATATCTTTACGGAACATGATCTTTACTTAATATCCTAATGATTTTTGGCATAAAAGAAAACTCTATAATTTTGACCCATACAATGTATTTTTGGCTATTGCTACAAATATACCCCAGCGACTGGTTTTGTGCTCCAGGGTCACATTTATGTAATGTTTGTTGTTTATTTTTTATATGATTTATTTGACTACACAAATAGCACATCACTTAATGTGAACCATTTTCATATTAAATATATATCCTTGCTAAATAATAGTATACGTTTCTTTCAAGAAGAAAAAAAAATGCACCAGAAAAGTCTTACAGACCCCAAAACTTTTGAGGTGTATGTAACATTAACATTAACCAAAATGAAATGCTAGTCTGTGATGCCTAATGTTTGTACCTTGTTGTAAAGTGTTACCAATTTAACTTAATTTTTATATTCTGTTATTAAAAGTTTCTGTTTGTCTCTAGGCAGGGACGTGGTCCCAGGCACATGTGTACAGGGGTATTTATGCCTCCTGGGCGGTGGTGTTGTTGCTGGTGGTGTTGACGCTGGCCAGGGCACTTTACTGGAGCTGCATGAGGGTCAGCCAACCTCTCCACAACCTCACATAGTGAGAGAGAGACACGGCAAGAGAGGGGGGCTGAGATTAGGGGTGGTGGGAAAAAATAAAGTCCACAGGAAAAGAGCTATAGAGAATCATGGTTAACTCTTAAAGCTTGATTGTGAAGGCTGTAATGAAGGGTCAAAGTAAAATCCAGGCTTGAGAAGCATGTGAAAAAAAGCTATTCTGGCAAAGAAGATTAGTGTTTTAAACTTATTTTTATTCGGAAGCTTTCTTTGGATGTGTTTTCATCCGTGAATATGGACTGACTTGTTACTCATGGTTACATGCAAATGTGCAGTTATGATTCCTAATGCTCTTTCGGTTCTAACCATTTACACACATACAGGTGTGAATACGTCACATACTCTCAAACCCACAGAACTCTCTATGTACATCTTAAATTAACCACACTACAATACACAAAAGACACTAATTCAACCACATTCAAACCTTCAACACAACATTAGCTGCCTCTCTAGTGTCCAAATAAGCTCAGAAGCCTTACAATGAGAGGAAGTACAGGTTGATCTCCACTAGAGGGTGTTCCAAAACAACACACACCTGTATGTTCATGTCACATTATGTCACATTACCTGTTTCTCTGTACAAACACCGCTAATCCAAATCCGTTTGGATGAGAATATGCTTAACAAATGCGCATAACCATTGTGTAACACTAAAAGTGTAAGTGCGCAAAACCATTGTGTAACTGATTTTTCATAAACACTTCAAGTGTATAATTGCGCTCAAACACACTCTTTCTCCCTCTTTTCCTTTAGTTGTGAATGTTAAGAACAGTATTTTTTTATAATTGTGAATTTTGCTTGTAAATATTTGTTGTTTATTTCATGAATGACTGAACAGTTGCACTGTAGCTCTAACACGCTGTGATTCCTTTTTTATGTTTTTATTTAATTTGCAAAATCACTACTGAAAAACCACTACCGATAATGTTTTGACTGGAATGAATATCGAGATAACAGCCACACGCGCCTTTGGAAAACAACAAAAAAAAGTTATGTCTTTGTTCTGATGAAGGTCAGCCGTGTTTCATGGACTTTATCAAAAGGGTAATTTACAACCTTTCTTCTCATGTTCATGTGAAGTTAATCGTCATTTTCAGGTACTGTAAGTTTGATTAAGTTTGAACCCTGATTAAATAATACTAATGAGATTAATCAGACGCTAGATTTGGATTCTGGACTCCAAGATCTTTTTTCTCTGTCAGAATTCAGAGTCTGTGTGGGTTTGTGTTTGTAAAGATAGGAAAACACAATTGAGATGTTCAGAGCATTGACTTGATCGCCAATGTTCTTGCATTATATTCATCAAAAATATGCTAAATACATACATAAATACATAGAAGTATGGTCCTAGCTGCAAATATGGAATTCAGAATAAGTATTCTGTCCATGAGAAACGTTAGGTCTGGACGTCTGGAATCCCAAACAAGAGGTCAGGATGTTATTTATAAAGAGCAGAAGGCCAATGATGGAGGTCTCCTCTGAATTTGTTTACACATGAGATTAAGATTACATGTGATTCAAATGAAGTTATAAAACAGTGAAAACACTTGTGTGGCGTCTGATTTTTATGAAGGTCTGTGTGTGATTCACTTGCTGCCATTGTTTTGGCACTCTTCCTCTCTGTCTCTGGCCATTTGTCTCTTGTTTCGGGCGGATATATTATTTTCCTCGACACAGACTGATAGAGGCATGGGAAACATACAGAAACCTTTTAGAAACCACAACTCCCCTGAGCCGGGCAGAGAGAGAGATTTGTCAGCAGTAATGGAAGAGAAAGAGCAGAGATCTGGGGACACACACAGATAGAGAGAGGTTTCAGTGACTGGGCCACAAAAAAGTGCAAGCAGAGACCAGAGAATGAGACCTCTGTGAAAAAGACCTGGTTCATAATCTACACACAGGGCGAAGTTTGTATATGTCTCCTCTCTTGCACTAAATTCTAATTCCGTTTAGTTCAATTTAGTGTGCTTAGCTGCCATAATAACTAAATAGTAGGTGTGTATAATGAAAAATGTTCCAAGATAACTACTATGAAGTAAAATGGTCAATAGTCCAATTGTTAAGAAACAATATAAAACAGCAAATTAAATGAAGTATTCTGCAGAGCTATCCAGGAAGAGGACATTTTGCAAATATTCTCTGAAAATATTAAAGTCATTCAAATTAATTAAAAAGTGTAATTAGTATTTTTGGAATTAAGAGAAGACCTCTTTCTCTTGTTTTATTGGCATAACTGAATATTGAAAAATGGTGCAAAAGAAGCAATGAGAAGTAAAAATCTTTATGTAATTGGAGGAAACAGGTAATAGTAAAATGTAAATAAAAATGATAATTATACATCTCTATACAATTAATTGTAAATGTGAATAATGCAGAAATAACTAAGAAAAAATAATACATATAGGCTACATATGTAATAACTAAAGGGAAAAAAGAAAGTAGCATCAATTTTAAATGAATAACTAAGGTTAAAGATAAAAAATAAAACTCAATAACTAATCAAAAGTTTAATGATAAGAGAAACAATAGCAAGGCAGATCAATCAGTTTCAATCCTATTCTAATCTAAGTTTTTATTTTGTTTATTTATATATTTGGCATTACTAAAACTACACTGTAAATTTTTCAAAGTTGTAAATAAAACAGATTATTGAAGTATGCTTTAGAAGAAAATACTATTTCATTTTTTTACTTAAAAATATCCTGTTTAATTTAATGTGTTACTTGCGCTTTCTTAGTAATTGTTTGTGAAAGTTTCTGAGTGAAAACTGTTTTAAATTTTTTTCTGTGTATATTTATTGACATTGAGTTTCAAAATAAATCATATAAAATAAAGCAAGATTAAAGGATAAAAATGAAAATGACACCATATTCCACTAATAAATCAAAAGTTCAATGATAAGAAACACAGCGCCAAGGCAGATTAATTTGTTTAAATTCTATTCTAATCTAATGTGCTTTTACACAATAAGCCAAGGCATTTGCAGTCTGCAATAATGTAAAATAACCTGACAATAATGCATTAAATAAAGTAATATTAAAAGTCATTATTGCATATAAAATAAAGTAAAAAAACATTAAATAGTCCAATAAACTAAGCTAATCATAAATCATTTTAATAAAAGCATTTACTACTAATAAATGTAAATGTAAATAAAGCTGAATAATTTAGTTCAGTGATAAGAAACTCTCTTTTTCTCTGTTGTGTCCCAATGGAGTCAACCCGATCTGAGATTACTGAGCTTGCACAAACACACAAGAGCCTTTTATCCTCCTAACGTATAACAGGATTCATCCTTAAAGATGAGCCCTGTGACCTTATACACACACACACATACACAGAGAGAGAGAGTCTGTGTATGTCACGCCTGTTAAGCGCATACACTCACACTATCAGAGCTGCAAATCTTCTCCTCTCTGCTCTCAGCATGAACAGCAATAAGCAGCTGTAAGAAGGATAGAGAGGGAGATCTGGGAAGAAAGGATGAGAAGGGAGAGGAGATGAGAATGAAAAGATAAGATGAACTGATGAGGAAGGGGTATAAGTAGCTTTTGCACTATCCACTTTAAAACAAACAATTCATTTAGACCATCTAATCCTCTCAGTTCAGGGATGACAGATTGAGAAGCAGACATGCTATTTATGACTGGATGTAACTTTTCATACTTTGCAGTAAAAGTGGCTCTCCTATTAACTTTGTCCTATAAGTGCGGCTCTCGTGAAAAAAATAGTGAAGATCACTGATTTAGACCATCTAATCCTCTCACACACACACATTGTAAAACTTTAGCTGTTTGCTAAATTCAAAAATGCTAAATGCTAAATTAGGGTGATGGATGATGCAAAGAAGTTGTAAATGTTTTTTGTTTTTTAATCACTTTGTGATTTTTACTGTATGTACCCATAATGTCAGAGGTCTCACGACCTACAGTCCTACAGCTAAAAGCATAGCATTCAACTCAGTTAACAGCATGAATTATTGATGTCTGTCTGGACCAGAATTTGTGTGTACACTGGAATTAAAAGCCTCCGGTGTCACCTGTCACACTGCAGTGTGTGTGTGTGTGTGCGCACGCGTGCAGACAGATATATAAAATCACTCTTTCATCTGTTAAATAGCAGTTTATTTCATCTTTAGTGAAAATGCTGCTTTAGTTGGAGTTCCATGTTTTACCAGATTCTCAGAGAAACTGAGAACAATTTGCATGCATTATTTTATTATTATTTCACATTTTTTATTAGTTATACTGTATACAGGCTATATAGGCTGTATATAGGCTACTGTAATACATCAAGTAATTTATATAGTTAGCTAATTTAACTTACATTAGCTAAATGTTAGCTAAGATCTCTCTCTCTCTCTCTCTCTCCTTGTGTGTTAAACCAGGCAAAATCACATCCAATAAAAAACATTCTCCTCAAAAAGGAAAGGTTGGATATCACCTATGTCAGTTTGGATTGGGATAGAGAGAGTGAGGTAGAGGTAAAGATAAACAGAGTGAGGGGTTACAGGTGTCTTTCTTCTGATCATTCCTCCAGAAAAGAGCATCTCCACTGAAAAGGTAACAGCTCACTTTAAACAGGATCTTACAGATGATCTTACAAATGATTAATTAGACCAGTAGTTCCCATTTAGGCTGCATTGTTTGAGTTTTAGTGCACTACTTGTTGGTTGCAAAAATTAATTACTAAAATATGTTGATTTAATCAAATTTAAAGTTTAGAATTTTTAACAGATTTTCCTCTTTTTATTTTTTTAAATATCAGTGCTTATTTAGTGATTTTATATCATGTTTTTTTTTATATAGTATAATGTGTTAAAGAAAGAACTGTCAATGTCTAAATAAAAAAATGTAAAGAATTTGATTTTAGAATTGATTTAAACAAGACGGTCACAGAAGTGAATGTTACAATAGTTTTGACGCATTAGACGGACACATGTAACCAATATAATTTTGAAAATAATTATTTGTATTAATTTATTTTTTAACAACGTCGTTTGCACTGCGCTCTTGCGTTACTTGATCTTTTTATTTTGGTGCGTCAATCTGTTGAGTTACTTAGTATAGGAATTTATGATCCGCACTCACGAGAACAATCTTTTTTCTTTTCTTTTACATTCATTAGAAAAAAGAAGATTGTTCTCGTGAGTGCGGATCATAAATTCCTATATTAATTTATTTTTTACATTGTGAAATCTTTAAAAGTCTGACATTATCGGCAGCATACAAAATATGTAACAAAACAATAGATCGAATGACACTGAAATGAAACTCATATAATCGAATTTTCTGCGATATTCAGCCAAACCCGCGAAAACAGTTCTGCAGTGACAAGAACTGGAACTCTACTGGTAACTGGATTCCAAACAGTCGAACTGCTTCTTATTCTTACGCAATGATTTAATTGAGCTCAGAGAATAAGGATGATGCTGATTATGAAGAAGATGATGAAGATATTAATATCTTACAGATGGAGTGTAATTGTAATTCCTCTCTGGGTCCTTTTTCCTCGACGTACTGGAGCAGAAGTAAGTGAATGTGTGCAGCTGGTGTGGAGCTGGTGCAGATTGTTAAACATACTGTTTGTCTTTGCTAATTCCATCTAGTTCCATGACTGCATTGTTTCTAACTATATAGCCCATAAATATTACTTGCTTTATC